ACTCTGCCTGGTAGGGTCATTGTGAGTTTGGTTTTTGGATTTGGAGTGGTCCAAGCTCTGGAGTTAGATTGGGATGTTGTTGTACAACATTGTAAATATAGGAACTGCCCCTGAGCTGTGTGCTTTAATTTTTATGCCATGTACTTTACCACAATTAAAAGAAGGAAAAATAAAAAAGAACAATGTAGCTGAGTCCCGATCCCTGCCCGTGGAGCTGCAAGGGTTTAGTCCCTGCCCCGAAGCGGCAGCGTCAAGCACGGCTGACCTGAGAAAAAGCCCCTGCGCAGCCCTTCAAGACCGTGGGGAGACAGAGAGCAGAGATGGAAACAAAAGAGACAATGTAGCTGAACCCCGATCCCTGCTTGCGGAGCTGCGAGGGTTTAGTCCCCGCCCTGAGGCGGCGGTGGCAAGCTGTGATGACACCAAGCCCTCCTAAGGGCTCCAAATGGTCCCGGCTCTGGCAGAGACAGTGGCGGGGCCAAGGTCAAGCCCCAGCCAGCTTCCACTGAGGACCCAGATGCCCTGTCCAAACAGTGGGACAATGGTTGGAAAGCATTGGGCTACCTCCGTACGAGAACTACCTGATGGCTAATGGATCTGACAATGTGCAGTCTATGGCATGTGAAAGATGGACGGTAACTAGGGAAGAATGAAGAAGAATCGATGCCTTTCAATTAAAGGGCTGGCAAGGAATAGTGATCGTACCATTAACTGCTGGCAGAATGAACACATCTGTGTCGGAAGTACAACCAACATCTCCTTAGACGGAAGAATGGTGAGACCTTGCCTGCGACACTTCTGCAGAAGAACATCATGCTTGGTTAAAGGAGGACATCAGCGGAAGGAGGAAGACCCTCAACAATACGACGGACTCCGTGCCTGCACCAGGGGTTCAAATGGAGCAAGCATTGTGAATGGCTCTGGACCAGGCCCTGTTTCTTTGATGAGTCGGAACAGACTCAGTGACACCGAACAACAACTAAGCAAAAAGGCCAACACTTCAAAGTTAAAAGGTGTGTTTAGAGTATCTATGGAGGGGAATGACTGGAGATAGAAATGAAGGTAAACTTGTGAAGGATCTTCAAAACCGAAAGAAAATAAAAAAACCTCACTACCATAATGTCTATGCCGATTAATAGTAACCCTATAAGGCAGATTAACACTGCCCCTGTGAGTTTCTGAGAGTATAATTCTTTATGGGAGAAAGTCCTGTCCTCCTCCTGGAAGGATCTTGAAAGCTATGCTAAAAAGTATGCTAACATGAAAATGATAATCAGTACAAAGTTTTTGAACAGAAGGATTATATGGTATCACTTAGGTTTATTTTGGACCCATCATTAAGAGAGACCAATGGCTAGAGCATGATATCATGTTTGCTAATGTGAAAGGTCAGTGAAAGTGAGGGAAATCTTTCATAAGATGGGTTGACACACAGCCCTGGCAATGGAATCAAACGTGCCAATGGTCATGAAGACAGTGTGTGGATTGACAATGTTATACACAAGGTCTCCACGACTCACAGCAGACTCAATGGCATCCACAAACAACAATAGAACTTCCATCTTGGACACTGGGCCTCCACCCACGTACTCCCTCAATGCAGGAACACTTTGTTCTATTAAACTGTTCTATTAAACTGATGCTCACCTTCCCAACACGATTGCTGAAGACAAAGCGGGTGCATAAGCAAATGTGAAGAAAGCTGATGGTGCCTGGCTATCAAAAGATAATAGCATCTGGATCTTAAAGGCTTGAAGGTAAACAAGCGGCCATCTAGCTCAGAAGCAACAAAGCCCACATAGAAGAAGCACATGTGTGATCATGAGGTGTCAAAGGGATGAGGTATCAGGCATCAAAGAACAAAAAAATTATATCATTGTGAATAAGGGGGAGTGCAGAGTGGGGACTCAAAGCCCTTCTGTAAGCAACTACAGACATCCCCTTACAGAAGGGTCATGGAGAGGAGATAAGCCAGTCAGGGTACAGTGTAGCAATGATGAAACATACAACTTACCTCTAGTTCCTAAATGCTTCCTCCCTACCCCACTATCATAATCCCAATTCTACGTTACAAATCTGGCTAGATCAGAGGATGTACACTGGTACAGATTGGAACTGGAAACACAGGGAATGGACGACAGATGATCCCTTCATGACCAGTGGTGAGAGTGGCGATACCAGGAGGGTGGAGAGAGAGTGGGGTAGAGAGGGGGAACTGATTACAGGGATCTACATATTAACTTCCTTCCTGAGGGACGGACAACAGAAAAGTGGGTGGAGGGAGACATCAGACAGTGTAAGATATGACAAAATAATTTATAAGTTATCCAGGGTTCATGAGGGAGGAGGTACCAGGGAGGGAGGGGGAAAAATGAGGAGCTGATACCAGGGGCTTAGGTGGAGAGCAAATGTTTTGATAATGATGAGGGTAATGAATGTACAAATGCGATTTATACAATTGATGTATGTATGGATTGTGATAAGGGTTGTATGAGCCTCCAATAAAATGATTTTAAAAAAAGAAGGGAAATAAAAGCTTCACAAATGCACACTGAAAATGTCAATTTACTGGCATTCTGTGATGCTCACCTTCCCGACACAACCGCTGAAGACAAAGCAGGTGAATAAGCAAATATGGTGAAGAAAGCTGATGGTGCCCGGCTATCAAAAGATATAG